GATAAGGCTCCACACAAGGATTCGCTCGAAGAATTGCAGTCAAAATCCATGCGATTTCATAAGGCAAAGGTAACATTCAGGGGGAGACGTGGGCTACGTGCTCGTTTTGTTATTCCAGATTGAATGCTGAATGTTTGTGTATGGACATAGAAGGACTTATTATCGTGACTGTATATAACTGATGGTGGATGAAAACACAACGCAGGCCAAAGGTTTATAGCCCAAAACTAAAGCTGCATCTTTAAATTTCTCTAAGCCATCGGGTATTCAGGGAGGAAATTAAAGTACACCAGTCTCTGGTTGCTTTTTGTAATAAAAACATAATTCAGCTTGACTGAAGCCACAGAACATTGTGTTTTGTGCAAAAGGGTGTGAGGAAAGATCTATTACAAAATTAAAATCCACATGATGTCATGCTACTAAACTTACACACACCAATTTGAGTTGATTTTTCCCAGGAAAACAAAAGGCTAAAATTGTTACGTGTTTTAATTAGTGTTATCTAACACAGCATGTTTTTGAGTAGAGAGAGTGATGGGTAGTACTGGCTTTATGTGATCCTCTAATGGCCATTGAGTCTTATGTTGTGAGTGTTAAAAGAGTGGTTAAGAAAAGTAGGGAGGAAGCATATAATCTCTATGAAACCTCAAGCTTTTTTTTCTTCTAGTACTCTAGAAAGCCAATCATTATAATAATATTAACCTTTCCATCTTAAAATTCTTGTTTTCCATATCTGTCAGTGGGCCTCAACTGGGCAAACAGTCCTGTAATGAAACTAGATTGCATTTCCAAGGAAATGGAGATACTTGCAAAGCAGCAGATGTTGTTTTTAAGCATCTTTTTCCAGAAAGAATATACTCGTCATCATTCAGTATGTAAATAAATTAGAAAAATGACAGAATATGCTAATATTATGATGATGCTATCGCTGTCAATTAATCTTTAAATGGCAAATATTATGTTTTTAAATTTAACAATGTGTTAAAAATATCACTAAAAAAGTACTGCACGGTTTCGTACATTTAAACTTAGACAGCATAATGACTGAAGCAGTCAAAGAAGTGTATTGGCAAAATATGCGCACATTTGCTGTAACTCTGAGCTATGCTGTTCATTGTTATGTAATTGTCTCAAGTTGAGAGTAGGTGTGGTCCTGAGATTTGATGACGACTTGCAACAAAACAGTAGCTGCGGTAATTGCAGCTATTTAAATGTAGTTTCTACAACACAAGAGCAAAATGGAGGAATGCTTAGAGTTAAACGATGCAATTTGGGAGGCGAAGTTAAAGATAAATTTAACAAATATATTTTGTGTGTGTGTGTGTGTGTGTGTAAAAGCATAAAACTGTCTCCTAATGTAAATTTATACAAGGAAACCAGTATATCCTGATCGCATTGTAATATGTTGCAATCACTCATAAAGAGAGAAAAATGGCACTGACATAGTTCGCCGTACCTCCTTTTCAGGAATAGATCCTCTTGCATAAGCTGAAAATTTCACAAACTTTATAACTATTTGTGGCACCATGGCCTGTAAACAAATCACAATTTATGCAATAAGTGAACCTGTTCACCCTCTGACCCATCTCTCAGTTTTGGATAATGTTGGTTGTATGATTGTCAATCTTACAACCAACGTTATTTATCTACAACATTGTTATATATATATTTAACATTTCATTTAACATTAACTTGTATATAAATCATAAATTATATTATAAATGCATGCAATATAATTATACAAGTTGACATGTGTAATAACTTTATTTAAATCTATTTTTGGTTTTTCCTCATTCAAGTTGTCTGTGCTTGTATACTTATACACAGAGGTTTTGTCAAGATGGCCGACAAGAGACTTGCCTTAAAGGGACATTATTTGAAGGCTCCACATACAAAATACAAACTTCGGTCATGAAACTGGTGCAGGCTAAGGGGTCTCCCAGCAAACAAATTTAGGTTCTGGAAACATTAGTTTTTGGTTCCCAGAACGTTCCTAGAACTTTCCCTTTACGTTAAAAAAATGGAACCTAAAAATAAGCTACATGGAACGTTCCTATAACGTTCTTGTTTGGTTCCCCCCAAAAAATATAACCTCATGGGACCATTCAGTAATGTTAGGGGAACGTTCTGTGTTTGCTGGGCTATAACTCAACATGATTGGTGCTGTAGCAGTAGCCAATGAGCTCGCTGCTCAACCTTCAAATACTTGGTAGCATTTGCCTTAGCAGTGCAGCCCACTTTCAGAAACCCTCCACCTTCTCCAGCTCCACCTGTACAGATCTGCTACGAATAATTAATGTATGCTAATGTACAGCAGCAGCATATCTTACTTGCTCATAGCAGTGTGTTGTGTTGGCAGCAGCAAGTCCTGTACTTGCTCTGCTATCGCAGCATCTATTCCACCAAGACCAAATATATCCACATTGTCATATCCATTACCATGCCAAACACTCAGAGTTGTCATGACAGAACAAAAATTTGTAACATTTTTTGATTGATACCCAAGTGAAATTAAATTACTTGAATCACCTCCATGAGCACCACAGCTCCAACATGTGTAGAAAGCCTGTGTGCTATTAACATTGGGCTATTGCTCAATGTTTTGTTGGTTGTGTTTTGGGTTTTGTCCCCAAATGTGAGCTAGCATGTGAACAATATAATGTAAAAGAAGCAAGAGGGAATATAGGATGTCAATCTTTGACTAGTACTGGGTGATTCATAGCTTTAATATGAATTTGACACCAGTTCCCCTTTAGCTCGGAAGTGACGGTTTTGCATGTCATGCTATTCTTTTCTGAAGTACCTCTGGGTGAATGAACTCATGTTCTGTTTAAATAAAGTGTCCCGGAGTGGGTATCTCAGTGCCAAGTAAGTGCATGCGAGCTTACGTCAGACAGTCTTTGAATGAGCGATTCATTTTTTTTTTTTTAAGACTGTTGTGCTGCTTGTCCTACATATTGGGACCTTTTTGTTTATGCTTGTGTCTGAAACTGAAGGCAGCTGGCTAGTCACTCAATGACCTAATATGCAGTGTTTGTGTGTGCCAGTACTGCCAGAAGAAACTGCTGTAGACAGGCTTACAAATCACCATAACACTGTAGCTACTCATCTAGAACAATTTCAGGTGAGCTTTAGATGAAACAAAGCAAATATTTATTATCTACACAGCTAATTTTGGAGGGAAATTGAATAATACGTTGGAGTTTAAAAAAAATGAATTCCTGTATTCGCTCGATCACACACCATTTTATTCCGTTTGAATCGAACAATCCTGTGCATAAGTTGGAAGAAGGCATCTTATTTGGCACACTATGACATTGAAACATTGAATTTAGATGCCTTTTTCAGACACAAACTATGTATGAAAGACAAAAGACCACATCTGAGCTTTAATGTATTCATCAGCCTTTTTTGTTCTGCTGTGCCTTTAGGATAAAAATAGCGATACTCTGTACATTCTAACTCATGATCAAATATCAGTCGCCTCAATGAAATCACAACCAAGATCTGATTTCTTGAATGCATGAAGACGTAATCCAAACTTAAGATCTATTACGGCCGAGGCTTGTGTCGCTCCATCACCATATAACAACATGAGGACGTTGACCTACTAGCTTCTTCTTGCAAGATTTGGTCTCCATTAGTCTTTGTCAAACGTTACATAACCCCAATCATCTGAGCCACCGAGAAGACACATTCGCTTATGTAACCATAATGATTTACTCTGGAGCCAGGAGTCTCGTTATACTTGTTTAGACACTTAAGCGGGTAGGTGCTAATTCAGCAGCTCTATAAGTGGGTGTTTTGACAGACCTTCGTTTCCATAATGTTGGGCTTTTTTTCACAAAATTAGATTGAAATGTTAGTAAATTGGAGATAGTTTTATGAAAAGGTCATTCCCAAAGGTCTCCCAAACCCCCTGTGAATGCATCTGTTCGCAGTTGTAAACTAACCATCATCAGTTTGTTTGAGTTCCTCCCAGTAGACTCAATAAAAGCTGTTACCTCTCGTACAGTGAGGAACAATATACGGGAGTGTTGCTTCGCAATAGAAACCCACTTTATGATAACCCAAACTGCTCGTAAATGCGTGCGACCACTCGCTGACCCCGGAAATGTTGTGTGTCTACATTATTAGCGTTTATTAAAGTAAATCCGCAACAGCAGGCAGCCTCCCCGGGCAAAACAACTGAACATTTAAGAGAATTCCGTTATCCCTAAAAGGCAGACATGAGGCAATTTCTCCATAAAACCTGAATCTCTTAAAAGTAGCCCTGCCAAGCACAAGGCCGTTTTGAGTATCTAAGAGCCAAATGACTTAATGCACGTAAAATCAATCCATGCTGTGAACTCATTGGCTGAGATTAGCTTTAAACAAGACCCGATCGCATTCTTGGGACCCATCGTCAGTGTTCACACACAAGCTCTCTGATTGACCGTCAGACAAACAAAGCGATCGTGTGTTATTTCGAATCCAGACTCCAAAGCGGACGTGCTAAGTGACTCCTGACAGCCCATTTGTTTTGGGCCTCCCACTAAAGAGATTATCAGAGGCAAATACCATCAGTGAAGGGGGTTTGTGGAGATAAATGAAGGTATTTGTTTAATACAGACTTACTTTATGCAGCTGCCAAGTTCTAAATGAAATGGAGACGGGGTGGTTTAGTGGAGCTGGATAAGAGACGGATTCAGTGCATGAAAATCATCCAAAAGCTAAAAATGGAAGATGATTTAGGCATGTCGCCCACATTGGGGGATTTGTTTAAAATCCTTTTGAGTGATTCATTGTCAACGGAGAAAAACACGTAGTAGTTTAACTAATTAACCTGCGTGTGAGTGAATTCGTGTCAGTATGCTTATTGAGTGCCTGTCTACCTGGAATTTATGGAAAAAATGTATCGTATCACGTCGGCATGTGTTGCCGAAATGCCTTTGGAAAACTTTCATGCTTTGTAGTGTAGAACAACAGTTCGCATCAGAAGAGAAGAAAAGAAACTCTTGTCAGTTGCAAATCTTACACAGACCTTTATTGTTCTTAATAGTTGATTTTTACACCACATACTGTACACACAGGCCACCACAGTCCCTCTCAATATTGTGCATCAATTCTTCTCAGTTACAAACTTTTACACACATTACGTTTTCAAGTGGTCATGACACTCTTTAACCTTCTTTAACAGTTCCATTCTCTTCAACATACTTTTCATCTTTCCTTCTCAAAACAACATTTTGGCTTTTTACCAGTGTATCAAGCCATCTACTTCATGAAGACACTACAAAATAAAAATAACAGCAAACCAAAGTCCATGGATGGTTGCTTATATCGAGTAGCGCCAATCATCAAGTCCGTCTAGTCGTATCCAACTCTATTCCAAATTTCCTTCAACATTTCTCAAGCCTTCATTCAACATTCAAGTTCAGTTCTACGTCATCTTTCTGCTTCGACAAGCATGTACATGCACTGGGCCCTCATGATAATACAGGTAGGACTCAACAAGTAAAGCTCCATGCAAGATGCTACATTGTAATATTCATCCATCATTTTGGCGGGTGGAAAAAAAAAATATGGCTCAGGTTTGATTTTTGCATTTACAAAATGTCAAATTTTCCAATTGGAAACTAAAATCATATTGCTAGTGAACATAGCATTCTTTTCTTGATAAATTATACCATCTGATTTAAATATAAAATGGAGCTGATAAAATATCCGTTTAATGGGAATGTACTTGTAAGACTTGCCTTCCAGTAGAGCCATGAATCAGACTTTTACAAAGTATTCATTAATTTCATCTCTTTTTCTCAGTGGGTACTCTTCCCTTCTAAAAGCTAAACACAGTGCTTTTAATAAAAACAAAAAAAGAGCTACAGTAAATATCTTATTGAGAAGTTTAAAAAAGTATAACTTTAATTACAAAAAAGCAAAAATCAATATCAATAAAATAAACGACAAAAAATGACCACACTAACAGTAAACAAGACTAGATGCGTGATCTTGCGCTTTCACACAAATCGACATGGTGGTTTAAAGTGTGCGGGCTGTCTTCAATCCCTTGAGATTCACACAGTCGCCTCAAATACTGTCTTTCTGGTACTGGTGTGGCCCACGTGGACCTAGGAGGGTTTTTGGGGGAGGGATTTGGTAATAGCTGCCATTGTGGACAGTAACACAAAAACACTGCTGTAGAAACAGTCTTTACACACACATAAATACAAGTCCTCCGCATGGTGTCTTTACACCATGGTCTCCTTCCTCTTTCCCAGCGAGCAGAGTGAACGCTTGTCCTTTTTAGATTTGCGAGGCAGGGAGGGGCCGGAAATCGAAGATGATGAAGAGGACGAGGAGAGGGTGGAGGTGGCGGAAGGAGTGGGGCTGGGGGGCTCCTCGGAGCTGGGGGAGGAAGGGGCGGAAACTGCGGCCCGCGGACAGTTCTCATCCATCTCTTCCATATGGATGATGGCGGAGACTGTAGATGAGCGCCGTTTGGTACAAATGTCGGTACTGGCTGGGGTGGACATGGATTCATTCTCAGGGAGCGGTGAATCTTTCTGGGTTGACATGGCGCTGCGGAGGCAGTTGAGCCACTGTTGCTTGTGGAAGATGTCATTGACCTGCAGTGTGTGGGACTGACCCTGAGATGAGTCCTGGAAGCGCACTCGGAAGATGTTCTTGGCTACAGGGGAGGAAAAAAGACTCAAATGAGCAAAAGTAATGGAATTATAAAGGAAATGATTTGATAAGCCTGACACTGAGAGGCATCAAGCTTACCTTTATCTGCATTACTAAAGGCCCCTCGGAATGAGCCGCCCATGCGAACGTCTCCGTCCTGCAGGTCTTCCAATACAAGATCCTGCACAGGGATCGGCTGACGGTACACTTGAAAACAATGCCGGTCATTCCGTGTCACAGGCCGGGTCAAGACCAGAATCTCCGTGAACAGAAAAACGTGCAACTTCTAAGGAGAAGAATGGAGGGAAAAAGAGAGGTCTGGTTATTGACATGTTGTTTGAACGTTGGACTGATTTGCAAGTATTAACAGTTTTCTTCCTTGGCACTCTCAAAGATTCCCCTGTCATTGTATCATGTGTTTGAGAGGTAAAGGAAGCCAATTCCTTCCCTCTGATGGCCTTTTTTGGAATATGGTGACTTTAGTGTTTATATTTCCAGAAAACTAAAATCAGAAATGATTTGTCCCCAGGGTTCAAACTGTTATGGATGTGTTTGTGTGGAAGACAAACAAACTCACCGTGCCACTTTTGTTCCGAAGTTCACCATGGCAAAGCAGGCTTTTGCACTGCTCTATGTGTGGGTCTTTCTGTCTATCATCCAAATATTCCAGCTTATCGATATAGTATTGACATTCTGACTCTCCTTTCTTCATGTTGATGTCAGCCAACACTGCCTGAATAATGCTTATCTGGAAAAGAGAAACAAAGTCAGCATTAACACCAAATGTCACTTTCTCAATTTGAAAGCCTACATTTGCTGGATGTGTGTCTGTACTTACAGCCTGCTCAAGGCTTGCTGTGTCTGGATGATCTGGTGGTGTGTGTCTTAAAATCTCTTTCAGAAGAAGGGGGTATTTGACCAATCGTGAACGAGGGATGTCCAAGAAGCTCCACAAGTCTAGTTTCCTGCTGAAAGGTGACTCAAGGCAGCGCTGTAAGAAGTCCTGAACTCTTGGGTCTTGTTTCTTCTGGTCAAGCAAGGCTTTTGCGGCTAACTGGTTACTGCAATATGCCCTGTACGCATTTAACCCGGGCAGCTGCGGAGGAAAGCGAGAGTTAGTCTTAACACTCTTATGATGTTCAACAATTCATGTGCATGTCATAATAATATAAAGACAGCAAAACGATACTTACCCAGTTCACAACAATCTTGCCGATCTGTCCCACTGTACCATCTCGGCCTGTAGCCTTCGCCAACTGAGCGAGAAGATCTGATTGGGTAAAGAATAAGTTAGCTCTACTTGTCGCAATTGTTTATGCGAAAATAAGATGTCCGGGTAAGATGTCTACCTTCATGTAGAGGAATATATGCATCCAAGTCTCCAAAGATGGCTGTCAGCTCCTCCTCAGACATGATAGAAAGTTTCAGCATGGGATCATGGTACGCCTGGACACACAAAATGAAAAAAATGAGTAAAAAATAGCTACAGCCTCTAATTTTAAAGAGAGAGACATTCTTGTCTATAAATGGAGGAAGGAAGCCAGCCAATATGTCTAACTCTGAAAGCACAGCCAAGAACTTATTTGCTTTAAATGTTCCAAATAATAATTGAAATGTACAAACCTTTCGGGCTAACTTCAGGTCTTCAATCAGGTCCTGTTCTCCTCGAGACAGCTCAAAAATTGCCTGGAGAGATGGTAAACAACACATTCAAAACTAAGAAGATAGTTCAAGTATTTTTAGTCAAGCCCCTATCAATCAGATTCTCTCTTTGGTGGGAAATATTTGAGGGGCTCACAGTTTGCTGTAATGTCTGATTACTAAGTCTAGTTGTGAATGAGAGGTCGATGCTTTGTGCGTCAGACCAGCCAGTCTATGTTAGCACTGTACGTCTGACTCTGAGCCAGACTCTCTCCGCTCCATTCCATTGCGTGTTAAGAACACACGCCAAAAAAAACACAGCCAGAATGAGAGCGGTAGAGAGATGGAGGATAAAAACAGAGGGAGAAAAGGAACAGGGCACTTTCCAAGCCCCAGGCCCTTTGGGTTTCATAAGTCTCACAGGCCTGATTCAGTAGCGTCTGGCAGAGAGACTAAGAGTGGATTTAATAGTCTAGGTTTTACAGTGCTGTCTGGATTCCGTAGTTCCGTCTGTACTCACCTCTTGTCTCTTAATCTCTTTGGTGGAAAACGTCCCTTTCTGGTGGACGTCCAGAGTCTCAGACCAGAGCGTGCTGTTGCGGCGTTTGGGTGGTGTGGGAGCTGCGGCTTTGCTGCAGGGCTTCTGCTGGGGCACGCCCGGAGACCGCCCATCACCCCGGAACGAGGCTTGGAGGGTCTGGCCGAAGCGTCGGACGGCCCCATTCTTTGCGGGAGAGATGAGGTTCGCCAGCGAGGTCACTCGGCCAAGAGGCCTCACACGCTTGGTACACGGTTCCTATGAGACACGTGGATGAAAATAAACGTTAAAACTTAAATCACCCCCTACGGACCACAACAGATTCCTTCATGCTTCATTGAATGCACAACTCCCAATACAAGAAGGCTAACGTTGAGACCACAAGTTGCCGCCTCACTTAAACGGAGGCTATTGTATAATTCACAGGATAAACTCCTCACTGGTGCGGTCATCTGCAGGTCAGGTTGATTGGTGTTTCCTGGGCAACAGACAGCTAGGCGGAAGCTCCAACCTCTTGAGTTAGCAGCTGTTATGCCCATCAAGTGAGATTGACCCTCTCAGCAAAAAAAAAAAAAAAAATCTCTCTCTCTCAATATATACACGCATAAAAACATGAACAAAACCCTCTCAAACTGCAGCCCTGGACACCCAGGGTTCAAGAGGCATGACTGGAATGTAGGAGACTCCAGTCAGCTGTCCCACGCTGATGACCCACACACACATTCGACATCATGGCCTAACTATAGCAAACAGGTCTCCAAATCAGAGCACTTAATAGATACATTTGCTCTTTTTCAAGGTGGAGTGTATTTGGGTCAGAGGGACCACCATGGTAAGTTATAGATTTGACACAGGCCTTGTAAACAGGCAGCACTCTACCCCCCTCTTCTCTTTCCTTTCTTCCATTAAGAGCTGTTTATGGTTTCGTGTTGAGGCAGGCCCTGTAGCCCTCGCGTGAGAGATACGGGTGCACCTGAACCCCCTGTAAGAGGGGGAGGTGAGCACTCTCAATCCCAACATCCATAATGACTGGGCCTCCAGCCAACCTCAACAGACCTGAGAGGAGAGGGGAGGGGGATCAAAGCAAAACAGATCTGAGATGTTGATCCTACACTCACTCGAGAGATCTGACTGAAAAAAACTTCTACCGTTCCTGGAACAATGTGAGCTTTGTCGTCAAAAAGTGTTGGTGTCTTTCAACCAGCGGGGACAAAAAGCACTATGTGCTTGGCACTTTTTAAAATGCACATTTCAATAGACTTTCCAGTGCTGGATGGTTTTCCAGCAGCTGAAAGTATAAAAAAGGGATGTGTTGTTCTCATCTTGGCAAAGTGAAACCACCCCATTCCAGTGACCGGAGTAGACAGCTGCCGAGCAGATCTACAACTTCACTTTAGTGGGAACTGCAACTATGGCCCAACCTCAACTAAACTTGGCAGCCCAGTTCTGCCTGCCTGTCCTTCCTCCGCTGTAACATATCATGCTAAACAAGAAGACCACATCTGAACCTTCTCCAATGGTGGCCAAAAACACAAGATGTTGGGGAGACAGAACTCAGAGGAAGCAGTCTGACTAAACACTAAATTCAAAAGACCACAGCAGTACCTGTGTGTGTGATTAGTGGCTCTACGCAAATAATCAGAGCATTGCTGCTGCCCATTGTGCTCTTACTGCTGTTTAGGGAATCCCTGCGATGACAAACACTTTAGTTCTCGCTTTTCTTGAAATTATAGATCATCGTGTGGAAAGAGCAACATGCAGACAGACAGAGTGTGGCTGTTTCTAGTTGTGTTGACTTTTTAGGGACCCCCCTGGAGAGTTGGAATGGGAGAACATAGCAGGGGGAAGCCTCCCCCACAGGAACTGAAGTTTAGACCACTGCTGTGTAACATTTTGTTTGCTTAGGTAAACTTTGGAGACATAATTGTTACTAAATGCTAAATGTGATAAAATTAAAAAATCAAGGTTTCCTTTTTAGGAGTCTTAAATCATTATAATTAGCTGTACATAAAAACAAAGGAAGTCTATGGTATTGTTTCTGTTCTTTCTTCAAAATCCCTCTGATGAATGGATTGGATTATTTAAATCTTTACTGGCAAGCCATACAAATATACCTGGCATAGGTAATGCATGCGATTTATAAAATGAATGGAGGGAACTAAATAAACTATTGTTGTGACTAAACCAAAGTCCCTCAGCTTTGAGCCACAACTTCCTAAAAACCTCCTGATTCATTCATAATTTGCAACTTCTGCTTTAGCCTTCCCGACAACTAAACCCTTTCTGTGGCCACTTCCGAATCAGAGTTGAAACCGCAAATAGGAATAGCAGCCTGCTGAAGAGAAGTAAGATTAAAGCCTCTTTCTGGGTCTTGAATACATTTCTTAATGCTCAGAGCAGGGCTCAAGCATATCTGGGCTACAGGATGTGACTGCTTTCTGACATCTAGAATGCCCCTTAATCTTTGCAAGCTGAAAAGGCCCTGAAGGGTCCCTTCAAACCATTAGAAAATATGTGAAAGTTCGGCTTAGGTGTACAACCAAACACACAGCCTTTAAACTTCCTGTATATGCATATTTAGCCACCATAATGGGCAAGACAATTTTAAAAAATGTTTAAAACTGTTCCAATCTAATCCAGTAATTCAATGACTACTTAAGTTGACCTTTAGCCTCATTGATTTGCAGAGCACTCACACACTCAGCTCCTGCCCCACCAGATACACTCTTGAGAAACACACCTGTGGTTTTTACTCCTTTAAAGGCCAGTGTGCATTCAAGATAACAAGAGGGCAAGGTTCTGACTAGGCTGATAAAGAAAGTGTAGAAACTCAAACATGCTTTTATCAAGCAAAACAAAGAGCAAAAGAAACACCAGGACAGCATTTGTGATTAATTGTTTTTGGGTCTCACCTCTAGTTCTTTGTAAATCTGGTTCTGATAGTCTATCTTCTGTAAAGTCCGTTTGATAGGTACCACACAAGGTTCATCGTAAGCCACCATTTCTTTCAATAAAATCCACTGGTTGGTTTCTGTTATTTCCAAGGGTGGGTAATAATCCACATGTGATTCTTAAATAAAAGCGTAATGTAACATTAAGAGGTCTAAAAACCTCAACGACCCCCCCAACTCGTATTTGTCCGCCTAAGCGGAGCTTTCTAACTTCTAAACACACTCTTGGAGTGTGTGCTCTAACAATCTCTAACTTTGTTCTAGGGATGTGAGAGGTAGGGAGTGCTTATATACAGAGTTTTAAAAGGGTGGAGTCACTGTAAACTCACCAATGGCAAGAGGAAGGAGTTGGGGGTATGTAAATGACTCCGAACAGACAAAGTCTGAGAAACCTGACTCTCTGCTACTACTGTACACATCAACAAAGCTAACATTTGCCTTCTAGATACTATGCTTCTACATTTCGGTAGCGTCAAAATGTTACCATCCATAAAGCAGGAAAGCTTACAAAAATTCTGCCTTTAAAATATCATGGACTTTGAACAAACAAACCAACTAAAACTTCACAAATTCCCAAGTTTGCAGTACAACTTTCAAGATGAAATGGAACTAGGTGAATTTAGCTAATAGAAAAAGACTTGCTTTCACTATGCAAAGTGGATTGGTTTATGTATGTCTTTGAGTTGCATGAAGGATGTAAAGTGACAGGCATATTTGCTTTGAGATCTGCCTAATGAAGACCTGGGTCGTTATCACCCACTCATCAGCAGGGGAGGGGGATGATCAATTACAATATCAATCAGGGCTGAGGGGGTCACATGCACACAGAGCACTGGTGGCTGTCTGTGTATTGGAGGTGTGTGGGTAAGTCTGATGAGTCTCAAAAAGTTTCAGCGATCCGAAGCAGAAACTGACCAAGACCACCCCGTAAACACATCCTGCTTAACAAAAGCTGCTTTTCTCAGTCTATTTTTCAAAACCGCACACCCGTTGGTTTCCACATTTGTGTGACCAAGGAATATGGTTCACTAACAGACCCAAAACTTTTACTGCTACCTTCCCACACGGTCAGCAGTGGTAATAACTTTAGTTACGCAAATGGACTAGCATGATGTGTCAGTTGGTTTTAATAGAGATTTGTGTTAAAATGTGTGAAAGCATTGGGGTGCGTTAAGCAAATGGAGACGAATGATGTGCAGACTCTAAGCTTACCCTCCTGTGTCAATATAAGAGTGTGAAACAAGACATGAATTAGTGTGTTTGCATCCGGACACTTTCCACTCAGTGGACGAGTCAAACAGAAGCAATTATTTGCTAATGTAAACTGCATTCGGTTTACACTTTAGCTATTCTATTATTCAAAACATTACTCAATACCTGTGTTCATAACAAATCTTTGTGCATCTCCAAAAAGTGAAGAGATTAAACAAAGATAGATGATTTTAGCAATTTAATATTTAATTAATTCAATTGTTGAATTATGACTAATCAGTACTGCACCAAAACAGTTGTGCATATGTATTGTTGAAAGATGAATATCAGTATGAGTGAAGTCAGTAACGGGGTTCCTTCATTACTCATCCCATGGGGAGACACTTTCATACTGTTCTCGGTGTGTTTTGATGAAAGGTGTGGCAGCCATATTGTATGAGAGCGCGGCTCAGCCTGAACCCCCTGCGGGCTAACACCTCGACACACATGACAGCTGGACATCTGGGTGTGAAGCACAAACACAGCACTCCTACTTTAGCGTTAAACACCAACACACAAGAGTGACTCACTTTATGTGGGCCGTGTGTGAGCTTGCCTGACTGGAAAAATGTGAGCTAACTTGCTACGCTCTGATCTGATATGATCAGTTGAATAGGCAGCAAGCGGAACGCTGTGCAGTGGATCAAAGTGCTGCCCCCTGGTGGATTATTCAATGGCACTGCAGCCTAGATGACTGAAAAGGCATTTATAATACTGTTCCAGGATGCATCATCTGTACTTGTACAGACTTTGATTAGAAGTGTAAAAAAACAGATCAGCTGGAAGCAATAAAGCCTTCTAGATAACCTCTTCCATCCAAGTTCTTTGAAAGCTTCCAATTTCTCATCAGTGGAGGAGGAAATTGTATCCGTCAAGGTACCAGTATTCATCCACTATAAGAAAGGTGTGGTTACAAGACAAGCCTGTACTGAACGTAGACTGTCTATGCCTGTGACGTCTGAGTGTGTTGGCAGGAAACCCCGACTGTTTTACGCTGGAATCGCTATCATTTACTGCCATCACTTCAGGCCCCGTTCTTCATTCATCCGGTTTGTGTTCTTATTTATCTTTTTCTTTACATTTTGTGACCATCATGGATGATTGAATTACGTATGTATGCTATGCAGTGTTTCCTACGGGATTCTGTGAGACTTGGTCCTTCTTTTCCCCATCCCCTCTGGAAGAACTTTTTGTATATTAAGTTAAATGCATCTGGTGCACTTTAAGAGCGTAAAAAGTCTTGACTTGTACCTGGACTTTATTGTGGACTCTCTTGTCAAACCTCTTTTTTAGTTGTGATGTAGTTTAAATCTATATTTGGCGTTTTATGAAGCCAAACAATTAGAATATAATGATAATAATAATAAAAATAATGTATTATTTCATTTAAAAACAAAAGCACGGAAATGGAATAAAATGTTATTTCACTTTACAGTAGGGAAATTACGATACTTTTGTCCTAATTTCTTCCATTGAAAGATAAACCCTTGAGCTTTTATTTTGGAGAAAAACGTCAGGATTACAAACAGTCAAACACGTCACAATGAAGTGCTCAAATCATCTGTGCACAAAATGTCAGATTATGCTAATGTGATAATGCATACCTGGCGCACATTGTGTTCCCAAATACGTTAATTGGAGGTCGGCACCAATAACCGATTGCTGGATCAATCTTTTACCAGCACAAATGCATACCGATAGTTTTTCCGGGTTGCGTCCATTGTTGGAGCTAGAGAAGGGAAATACATCCGAATCAGAAATACATCTGATTTCCGTTTTTAATTTTACTCCTAGTATTTCTTATTTAGTGCTTGAATTTTTGCACGAACTTAGTTTATTACTGACTATTTACTTGTCTTCAGTATGATATCATCATAAGTTTATTTAAGCAATGGTGAAATAAAATTACTCATATAGCCTAGTGTTTCGTTTTCAAGGTGAACTACACCCGGATAGGGCGTCTAACAATACTTATCAGTTCCTGAGAACAGTCAGTTGGCAACATCCTCTTATTAATAAAGAAACTGAAAGGAAAAATTAGAAGACCAACAGACAGATAATATCTAAATTTGTGTTAAGTTATAAAGTGACTTGCAGAAAAACATAATATTTCGCACAATAACCATTTTTGACCACTATAGTGGTTTCACTAAAATGTGTGGAACCAAAATTTGCTTTTTTTTTTTAGTGGTTTCTTTGGCGTGCCACCAAAACTTCATCTGTATATAAAAAGCACAAACATCCAGATATTTCTTAATAGATTTAACTCTGAGTCAATGCACCCTCAACAAAGATGGTTGCCACCAAACAAAGGTAACTAATAACACACCCCTCTGACCAGACACACAACACAGTCAGGACGCATACCACAAACACGTACAGCCTCTATCTTTCTATTTCTCACAGACTTGAACAATATATCGCAATCCGGTCTAAAGTGTTTGGTCAGTCTTCTAGCTAAATTAGTCACTCCATACAAAGAAAGAACTTCCGACTGTAACCACGTCAAGGCAACATTATGATACTTCTCTGCTTGATTGTGCAAATTCTGCAGTTACGTTATGCAGAATATGAAAAGTAAGGCAAATCTCAATTTGAGTCTCAGGATGACAATGTAATTTCATCAGAACAAGGCCCTAAAGGGAAAGCATGGGGCAATAAAAGGGGTACCATCACTAGGACAGGTGATTTATACAAAGCCCACTCCTCCCCCAATATGCATTCTCAAAGATGTGCTGTGAAGAAGGGAGTTGGGAACGTTTGCACTGTCTAGCGAAACAAGTTTCACTCAATAGAATAGTCTGGGGCAGAATGGACAAGTGACTGAAACATTTCAAAAATGTGTACTGAAGAAATTGAGGCTTAATTCTTCATATTTTTAAAAGTTTTAAAATGTTTTCGGTCACACTTTAGGGTCCAATTCTCACTTAACTAACTATTAACTATGATTTTGCCTAATTACTGCTTATTAATAGTTAGAAAGGTATAGTTTAGGCATTGGTAAGATTTAGGGATGTAGAATAAGGCATTAATATTGACTTTATACTAATAAACAGCCAAAAATTATCCTAGTTAGTAATATGCATGCTAATAAGCAACTAGTCAATAGTGAGAATTGGACCCTAAACTAATGTTACCACGTTTTGTTAGTGAAACATCTAAGAAGACATTTTGATTAACTGTTTTTGTCCATACAACGAAAGTCCAAAATAATGCTAGTATTGTATACCAAATACATGTACTGATAAATTTCATCAATGTTGTCTTGTTCCTTTGTCTAAATATATATCCATTATTTAAAATCTATTCAAAACGATACTAAAAAAGTATTTGTTACAATATATATTTTGTTTTTGTGTAATAACCTTGCCTGTTTTTTATTCCATTGCTCAAGGCATAAAGACTTTTGGTGAATCAGAGCTCTCTTATCTTGTCGGCGCAAGACTGATGGCAAGTCATTTCAGTTATATTGTTTGCCTGTCTGTCAAAAACAGAAGATTTAGGTGTGCTCAGTATGACCTCTTCCTAAACTGTAAAAAAAAAAACATTTTTGGTTGCTATGGATGGATATTAAGTCAACTGTTCCATTTCAGATGGAAAAAAAATATGAAAATAAACCAGAGAGGAGTCAAGATCAGCAGGGAGTCAAATTGCAAAAAAAAAAAATCTGTTTACACAGCAGGGCGTCTCAATGAAGCCCTTGCTGAAATTAGGATAATTACTGACAGTAATCATGGAAAGTTTATGGTTATGGAAGGATGACCTTTTGGATTATCAGAGGAAAGATTTTCTAAGATTAAATTCCAAAAGTTTAAGGTTAAAAGGTTTCGAATACTGCCACAACAAATGATTTAATCTAGGATTCTTGTGTAAAATGGCTTTGATTTTGCTGACAAGTCTTGATGTTGTGAGACTTTAATGTTGTTTTGAGCCATGCAGACTGACTTCAGGAAATGGTTTAAAAAGCAAGACCTCTTGATTTGTGTATTTTGATAAATCTGTTGTGCCATATCTAGCCTTGCAATACATATTTTGTTTAGCTGGTTTTCTTACCTTGAAGTCAAAGCTGCAGAGACTGACTGCGTCCGCATCGTCCTTCTCTCTGCGCTTGCGTTTCTGCGAAAAGAAAACGGTCTGTAAGAATCTGTAGCACAATACACATCTAAACTAAAACAAGGGACACTTACAAAAATGTAAACGTTCTAGCTTTGAGAGAGGAACCAAGGAAGACATTCTTTTGTAAACTTTTCCAAACTTCTCTTTTGGTTTCCTTGAGAGTATGCAAAGTGCTGTCCTGAAAAGTTGGTATTATTATGGGTTACAATGGCTCCTAAGGAGGTCCAGTCAGATTCAGGAAGTGCATCATTATCCCTAAGGCCTTTTAGCACCTGTGTGTGGGAGTCGGGGGCTAGTGGGGCATCTGTCTAGTGAAAATTCTACCTGTGGAGTGTGTGTGCAGGGTGTGAAGGGGTTGTAAACATTTCTGTAGCACTGGAATGGCCACCGGGAGCCCTCAGGGTCGCTGTTAATGGCTTGTGTTCTCTTTACCGGACTTTTCCCAAAAGAAACCACTTCACGAAACTGTTCAAGGCAGGGCATTTAAGTGGCTGAATTATAGCATAATGAACCTCCCAAGAAGATATCAGTCCTTCCATTTAACTAGGCCCACATGGAATATGCAAAATTGTATTTTTTTTTTTGTCATAACGACACAACATGGTTTTTATTATTATTATTAGATAAAGCAATTGTATTTTTTATCCTAATACTTTATCATCATTATTTATGTGTGAAATAAATAATTTAGGCAAAATATCATTAAACTCACAAGTTGAGGGCAGGAATTTGAATGCATGTAAATCTTGACTAAACCCATTGATAGGGTTGGGTATCGAGAATCGATTGGAACCGAGACTAACTTTTCGTTTTTCCCGGAATCGTTCAAAAGTTAAAATTTCGATTCCTAGTTTCGATATTTACAGTCCGCTGAGCGGAAGAAGAAACCGCTGAACAACACCAATGAAGAAGCGTCTAACAGAAGTGTTGGCATAACCACGCGAGTCGAACATGAGTACCTTACGTCGGCGATCCAAAGTGTGGCTTCACTTTTCTAAAAATAACAAAATCTATGCAAAATTTGTGACAAAAGGAGTATTTTTACAGAAGGAGTATTTCCTTCAGAAAGGATTATTTCCTTCAGAAAGACTATTGGTTAGCAAGGTTAGCTAAACTTTTTTGACCCTGCATCTTAAAAGAATCGGAATCGAGAATCGTTAGGAACCGGAATCGAAACAAGGAATCACAATCGGAATCAGAATCGTTCAAATTCAAACGATACCCAACCCTACCCATTGAGAGTGAGTCCTGAACCCATCACAAGTATGCTTCGCATTTAAAACAGGTGGTAGTTTTAACTCAAATGTGCCCATAATCTGCATACCATTTATAAGCAACATTTCACAAACAGGGCCAGTTTGTAAGTCAAATAGGGTTTTGTTTAAGACCAGTATCAATTGAAAAGCCACTATTCTTGATATTGCTGCCACTAACAGAAGTAATGTCTTGATGAGCCTATTGTTTTCTTGTAGTGTGAAAGCATATTTAAATTTGCGTGATCAAAACCAAACACTGCAGCCAGCTCACCTCGAGTTTCATTGAAGCAATGAGTAGATTAGGCTGATTTAACATCAGACCCATTCACAGCAAACAAGTCAGTAAACACTAAAACAATAAATGACAAGCTATCATTTAGCAAATCCCTATTCATAGACGATAGGGGATAATTAATCAAGACCCTGATTGGGGGGTTTTAGTTGTCAGTAATGATTGCTGGCCAATCAGATGCTGAGCTTCTGAGTGAATCACAGGTGTTTTGAACGTTTTAATGGATAACAGATAAGCGACTACTTTTGTGTTATTTTGAGCAAAAATTTTGTTTTTGTCAAAGACTACATCTGGATCAGATTCAGAACGATGGGCATTTTTGATTTATGCAGTTTAATATTGATAATGTACGCCTTTTTACACATGATATAGTTTTTTTCCCTCCTGCTTTGTCGTCTGTTTTAATCAGGAGATTCCATACTCTTTCAGAAGTTGTGTAATAGCGCAAATAGCGATAGTATTCATACAGGGGCATTTTTACAGCGTTTTGATCAAGTAAAACACACAGTGAAAGTGAGCACTCTAAATGTGCACAAGCTGTAATCTAACCTAAACCTAAAAGGCTACATCATGGCGAAGTGCATGCATGGATTCTCTAGGTATTTTTTTATTTTTTTATTTTTTGTCAGATCGCAGTTAAAACGACAATTAGGCTATTATATTATCATAGACATCTATATCACACACCTAGGGGAAGTTGCACCGATAATGCTAGTGCTTTCAGATAAAAATGCATGTAAAATTTGGTCAATACTGGAAAGTCAAAATTACTCAAAAGAATAAAATTAAAGCTTTACAAGAAGAACTAAAACTGGAGAGGAACAAGAAGAAAAGTTCAACGTGATAGACACAGGCGTGTATGTTTTGGCTCCAAACTGCCTGTTCTTGGTGGACAAACCATAAATGGATATTACAGCAAAGAATTTATGAGAGCAAACAGCTGCTGGCACAGAAAAAAAATTAGATTATTACTAACAAGCTCAATGAAAGTCACGTTTCAGGGACGCAGCATATTGAAGGAAGGGGTCAGTAAGATCTGGGATGAAGAGGTTTGGACAACATGAAGCCTAAAGAATGAAACGGTCAACATGAAACCGTTTTCACATACCATTTAACTTCTGTAATGTGATCTTTTCTAAGTAAAACTAGATATTCAATTAGGGAAAAAATAGTAAGATGGTAATGTGGTTGGCTGGATGTGAACAGTGGACTTATGGTGGTTGGTTGAAAGGAGTTTAAAAATAAGATGGCTTGTTGAAAATGGTGCTGCGTCTGAAAGCAAAAAATTATGGCTTTTGAGGATGTATTCCACAGTCGGAAGGCGTTAAGGCGCATCCGAAATCTCATGTTAGCTTCACTTCCTGTCTCCTAAGATACCTTCATCTGATGGATTTTTAAAGGCAGCATAGACGTATCCTATGCTGCCTTTGATATCCCACAATTCTGTGCATTCAGTCTGTGACAGTTAAGCTAATAAGGAGGCATCTGAAAGTTGCAGTTGGTGGACAGTTAGTGTATAAATGTAAAAATTTTTGACCAACGTTTTCCACTTTTTGTCATTTCTAGCGAGAAATTAGTATTGTAGTAATTATCTGCCAAGTTATCTCCAAAGCTCTTTCTATTTTGTTGCAGATCATTAATCCTTTATGCTGCCTCAGAAGCCTGTCCGAAATCAGTTTCGTGAGGTAATTTTGCGCACAAATGCTACCTGCAGTCAAGGAATTCTTGTAATAAACTCAAGCAATCAATTGAGCAAACACTCTTTCCCATTAAGCATGTCACCTTCAGAAAGAATAAAAGATTTTTCTTTCTTTTTCTATAATACGAAAGTAGTCCAGCTGTCTCAATTTGCTTCCTGTATCTTTTAAAATCAGTGTATGACTCACATTGTAATGCGAATACACATAAGAAAAACACCAAACCAACAAACAATTTTCCAAGGAACAGCCTTGCATTCCTTTTGAGTAAACAAAACGATATGTCTTAATACTTATTGGAATAACTTACATCTCTGAAATTTTTTTGCCTATTGTCATTAAGTCATCAGCATATGTTGGCAGCTAGGCACAAAGTGCTGTCAAAATGAGATCCGGCAGTATCACAGCTCTGCAGGCCACTTCTTGCATAATCCATCTGTTGTTGCACCACCACTGACACCCTGCAGCCATGTAGATGGCCTTAACTAGAAGAACTATTTCCACATTAATGACAATGCTTTCATGTTCGAGGAGTTTGAGCAGGAATAAGAGGAGGGTGGAATACTTTTACCTCTGCAGGGTTTTGAAGGTGAGATAATGGTGCTTGAGCTGGAAGCCTAATGAGGCCCATGTGCCCCCTAGATGAGCTAATGTGTGTGTATTCATAAAAAAAATACATATCAAAGGAACGTTTTGGCATGCGATAAAGCAGTCTGTGCTCTTTCCCGCTCCCCCCTCCCCTACAGATGAGAGATGGATTGCATTTCGCTTGGCCTTCATAAACTTTGGAATGCTCTAAACGGGCTCTACTCTGTGTTCAATAACAAACTAACTTGCATTTACTGCTTAACTGATTCAGTGGGAATGAGGGCTATTTTGGGTTCAGTTTGATGGAAATTTATCAGTGGCAATTTGTGCATCCGCTGAACCAGAGGCACGTGATGTCATGTGAGGATTAAGATGTCATCAGTTGATGACAATGTGATGGTTGAGTGGAAAACAATATCTTCCAAATTGTTCATAAAGTGCAAGGGGAAAGTACACTTGCGCGAAAGAAAAGGATGGAAAGTTGAACAATAATGACCTTTTGGGTGCAGTATTACAAGAGTTTTTGAGGCATGAAAACTGATGAACCGTAGTAAAGCACCATTAATGGGGCTACAGCATTCACGTCACTAAAAAAATGTCATCTGCTGTGTATATTCAAGTAAACACATTGGAATATTGAGAAAATATGTGAGAAGAGCAAGACCAGAGTGATACAAGATACAAAAAGTTTTGTATTAAACTTTATATTAGGTGTCTTTAAAAAAATAATAATCAATTGTTAGGTACAGTGTACTTATTGTGTTTTATTGCAAAACACTAGCTTGCTGCTTAAGAAGTGATACGGGTAAAAGACAGATTTTGTGGTATAGGTTTAAGGTTGGGTTTAGGTACTACTAGAACAAAGTAGTTACATTCTTAATATAAAGTTCAATAGTAAGTGAACCGAATAGTGAAACAATTCACCAAAGATGGTGGACGAAATGAGAAAAATGCTAGTTAGTAGTTCATTCAATATTGAAAAGTATCGATAAAGTATTAGTAATGGTATCTAATAAAAAATTTACTATTTAAGCTAATTAGGTTGCAACTAATGATTATTTTGATACTCAATTAATCTACAGATTTAACTTTTTGATTAACCAGATAAAAGCTGATTTTTTCATTACATTTAGTGTTATCCATTACATTAACATGCTAATATAAAACATTGTTGGAATCAACTAAGAGTCAAGTCTGTCTTGTGATTTGTAGTTTTAAATCACCCATTCAGTTAAATTCACAGAAATATGAATGTCATGAACTACTCACCAGTGTGAAGTCCCACTGGGGTCCAGGAGTCAGGAAGGTGAAAGAACTTCCTCGTCTCAGAGATGGCCTACAGCAAGAAAAAAAAAGAAAAATTAAGATTCTCAAAACAATTAGGCGACACTTCAAAAGAATATAAACGAAATAATTGAATCCCCTCTTCATAGAGAAAAACAGACAAATACAAAGCATCCAACCAGACCCAAACCCAGACCTCTGGTTGTGCAATCATGACATAGAACGTGCAGCCAAACCTTGTAGATCCATTTATGCCTGTAACCCAACAATGTCAGTGTGCCCATAAGAAAAGCCCATAAATCAGTAAAGACACATCCTGTACGTACCACACACCAAGCCTGGTGTAGCTCTGTCTCCTGTGACACTGCATCATCGTCTGCAGAACTGATATAGAGAGAACGTCACTAAGCCCCGATCTCTCTAACTCACACTAAAACACTCAGTTTCTGTTGTCTTTCACCCATGTGCCCTCTCCTTCATGTCCTCTTTTACTCACAAATGCTCTGCCCCTCATTGTTAACTGGGCCCTTATTTGGGGATTGGTAACAACTGTCTCAACGAGTTCATGTTTGCAAAAATACCCAGGGTTCCTTTTTCAGAAGAGCCGCTGCTTAGCTATGATAATGGGACAGCCCCGTCTAAATCTTTTCGAAAAAGCCTACAATAAATTTTCACATTTATTATAAGCTAATCGATTATGATTAAATCAATTTAGGCCCTCAGAAATGAAGGCAAATGTGGTATTACCATTGGGTTGTTAATTTTAGCAATGCAATTGAAGAATTATCCTGAATCATGTGCCAGTATGTTATTCTAAAGAAAAGATCTTTCATAATCCAATGATTCAAAATGTAGTAACTTCCTGTGTCTCTCAAATGTCTGCTTGCCAAATAAATGCACTACTTTTCAAAATTTTAAGGGGATGGCAAGATTGTTTTTTAAATGTTTTTGAACATTCTCTTAGATTTTTTGATTTGTTTAATCAAAAACACAGTAAAACAGTAATATTATTTCAATTTAAAATATTAGAATCATTCAAATTAATCATTACACCATACTTAAGTGTCACGATCATTCACAAATCATTCTAATATGCAGGTACTCAAGAAACCAATATTGTATATAACCAATATTGAAAACAGCTGTACTGCTTTCTGTTCTTTATTTTACTCTCACTTTTGATCAATTTAATGCGTCCTTGTTGAGTACAATTATTTAAAAAAAAATGTTACATTTAGAATGGTACAATAGTGAAAGTAAATACATTTGGAATATTGAAAAATTCATCTAAAATATGTAAGAAGAGCTAGACCAGAGTGATACAGGATACAAAACAAGTACAACTACATAGGAACAATTGTCAATTATGCACTTTACCTGTCATTGCAATTGACCAATAAGAATTGTATTAAACTGAATACATTTTGTTTTGATCAAAGATGAAATAATTTTTTTTTTTTTTTTTATGAAGTTAATATTTAAGTTAATGTGCAGTGAATTTGCCTTGGAGGCTGACAGACCTTAACTCATCCTCATGCATTCATTTTTAGATAACAGATATGGGGGTGTATTATATTAAAGTGTTTATTATGTGTGGGCAAACTTCATTTTGTTCCTTGATGATTCATTGTGATATGAAGACAATTGTTCTCTGGTTGTGGTCCTGGAAGAGGTGTAGGTATGTGTTTTAGCAAATTCCTCTTATTCGGTCTGATGTGGTTTCTTCAGGCATCTTTCTATCTCTACATCAGTCTATTATTTCCTTCACTTGGGAATGAGTGTAGGTGGCATATGAGCGCATAGGTAATTAGAGTAAAATAAATCTAAGGAATGTAATTGTGAAGTAAGAGAAGCTGGTTCTCGCGGAAATACTACTTCAAATAATTTTGCTTCTGTTCCTTAAACCTATCTTTGTAAAGTGACCTTGGGTGTTGGAAAGTCGCTATATAAATATAAATTATTATTATTAAATGTGACTCATTTACCTTAATAGAATATTTTGTGATGGTGTATTGTACAGAAGGATGTTACAAAACAACAGTGCAATGTAAGTAAAGCAGTGAGAATATTAAGCTGGGCGAGATATTATCTGACCAGTCAATGTTTAACAGAATCTATCCACTTTATTCCTGACAGCCTTACTGCGTTTTGAATAATGGGTGGCACTTCCGGTTTGGGGAACTTCCACTCAAAAAGGCTGAAACGAATCATTTCAAATCATAAGGTTGCCCTACAAATAAGGCGGATCTGTGAGTTTGACTGGATGTGCTGTCGATTTTCCCTTCATGATTTATTTTAAGACATCATGGGAAATTGAATAACGTTATACTTGGTATTTTAACGTGACCTGTTACAACAAGAATATCTATGGCAAGAGCTCTTTTCGGTCGCTGCTTTCTTTTCCTCATGATGATTACTTTTTCCTTTGCAATCCGCTGTAAAAGTATGAAAAAGGACAACATGTACGGCACATTCGTGGTCTGTTCTACCGAATTTAATTTACGATATTCCATTCATACCAGACTTGCACTTTTGGGGCAATTTTTGGTCTGTTGAAAGTACCTTGTTGATTTTTTTTATTTTTTATTTTAATGTTCGATGGTTGAAGGGTGAGTCGATTAATGTCATCTCATTGTGACAATTTTTTAACGTATTGCGTTCATAGAGCAAGCCTTTCACTGATTGTTTACAGCTTAACGGAAGTTATACCCTAATTCGCGCAAAGCGTCATGGAGCGTAGGAATAAGGTGGATATCAGTGTCCACTAGAAAAAGACTCTACTGTGGGTGGTCTTAGCTGCTAAAAACAACAGGAGCCCAAAAATATGTAGGTCAAATGACGCTGCCAATCCCATGATGGAGTGTCCTCCACTCCAGTCCATGCAGACATGGTGAGCAATAGACCATAGCGAGTAGAGACGGCATATTTTAATTTAAACGGATACGAAAAAAAAAAAAAACACTAAGTACTTGTAGGAAAATACATACTTGGGTGTGTGCAGTAAAAAGTAACATGCCAATATTGGTACATGCTGTGAAGTCATGAAATTCATACCACAATTCACAATTCCCAGATCCATATATTTAAAAAATATTATTACTGTCCTAAAAGTCCCCTAAAAGTCTTGGTCTTGTCTCGGTCCTGATACAATCTGGTCTTGGTCTCGGTTTAGGTTGTCTTGACTACAAAAACACTACCCGGGCCATCAGGCAGTGCTTATATATTATTGTCCTAAATATTGATTGATCTCAGTATTTTACATACAAATGCTAAGAAGACTGAATTCCTCAAATGGTATTTTTTAAAGAAAAAATTTGATCTGAATAGTTGTGTTAATGGCTGTAAGGCAGAACAAAACACACCCAAGACCTGTAGCTATATTGTGTAAAATGCCTAAGGCAGTGGTTCCCAAGCCTGGTCCTGAAAGCCCTCAACACACTCTCCTAAATCACATATCTTATTCTAATCAACTCTTCAGCTCAACAGCAGAGACTCCAAGGTCTTAAACAGGTGTCTCTGATAAGGGAGACATCCAAAAATCTGTGCTGTTTGGGAGCTTCAGGAACTGAGTAGGGATCCTGTGAATGCGCATTGCTTTTAAAGCATGTCTGGAATGCAGGTGTTGTGTGAAACGCTGGACATTGGCATGACAAACATGGAACAAATTGTGCACACACCCCATGATGGTTACAATCAACACACACACCACTCTAACACTCACAGGCAAATGCAAAAGAATCATGAATACACCAAAAATGAGGCTTGCCCTGTTTTAAGAACTTCGAAAGAACATTACTACTATTACCGCTTTCGATTGTCAGCTGATCCGTCACAGGTGTGGGAACATGTAAGACGTAACTTGGTCTATTCACAAGGTGATGTCATTGATACGCTGGCGATTTTGATTATTTGATCCGATTAAGAATTTATATAAACATAACTACACCTCCTGCATGTTTTTATTCAGAATTTTGGCTATCCTTAAGTAGTCACAGTGTAGGCTACTATACAAACCAATAGTTTTAAGGGAATGGCCAACATTGGTTTCAGGTGTTTTTTTTCCTTCTGTCAATGAGAAAGAAATCCCACAGGACGTTGAGGTGGGAAAACACTTGAAAGGACTCCGGTTAAGATAAGTAGGTTTGGTTTCACCATGCTTTACGTAGCAAACAAAGGAGAGGCCTTGGAGGAATAATATGTCACTTACTCATCGAGATCATTCTAATGCGCTTCAAAAGCTCTCTTTGTTGTGGTTTTCACTGTCAAATATGAGACATCATATATAACAAACCTGTAAAAGGCCACGCAAAGGGCTTGAGTGTCAAAACGGCTCGGAGAAAAGGTAATCTGAAATTGGATAATGGTTGCCTTAAACACCTACGACATCCCACTATGTGTGAAACAGTGACGTAGTGCTCTTATCTCAGCTAGCTTACATCGTTTGCGTATATGAAATGAAGCAAGATATTGTTGGCTAATTCCTTGGGGATTACTGGGAGAGAGAAAAAACAAGGCCCAATACAAGATAGGCCTAGTTCCACTTTTCTGTGACATAACACCATCAAAACCTATGGGGGCTTTTCAGGTCATGAGCTTTTCTTTTCTTTTTCTCTTCTCATAATTCATATATAATAAGGAAAGTATTACTAAATCAATTAATTATAGTTAGCTATTTTGATAAAAATTCAGATCACAACTTTTAACAGTGCAACATTTATTTCAACAATATTGTTTAATTGATTGCACTAACACTACTGAATGAGATGTACTCAAATGTACTCATTTATAATTGATGATCTTTACAACGGAACTGAATCAACACTGAATTGCCTTCAGCTGAACAATGGATTTTCTTTGAGCTTCTGTTTGCATCATAGAATCATTTTCACTGTATCAATGTTTTACTGTAAAGCAGGGGCTATATGTAAGAATTGTCGAGCATTAACCACTTTTTGTCATGCCAATGTGCACCGGCTTAAAAAACGAGAACTTCCCTGACTTCCTAGGTTGCCTATGCCTATGAAAGTCAGTAGACTGATTTTTAAGGACTCGGGCCGGTTTCACCAGGAAAATCCAAAGGACGTGATACACAACACTCGTTCCCGAGAGCCTCTCTTCCGTTCTATAACACATGAAATTAATGCTAAATACAATGTTCAGAATAATGCCGAAATAGCTATTTAGAATAATGCTAGAAGAGTTAATGTCAATGTGTCATGCAAAGAAAAGAGATTCATTCAAACTCTTGTCTCGCATAGTGCTCACATTTCCCCCTAAAAAATTAGAAATATAATTTCCATGCTAGTTTGTATTTTAGGAGGCAATTTGGGTCCAATCAGTCATAAAGAAATCGGACCTTTTGCCAAAATAAACTCTTGTTATTTTAGTCTGTGATAAAAGCACATTTTGATGCTTTCCATCCCCCTGTCTGCTTTCTCAGGTTTTATGTGAAATATCTTGAATATATTTGGCGGGATCTATTTATAAAGGGAATCTTGAACACATTATCAGTTGTCCTCAATATAATGTCGGTAAAATTGCCATGCACCAGGATTTGACAGTCATTCATTCATTTGAACCTTTTAATCAAATAGGCTAGATTTAAAAAAAAAAATGTTTTTGTATACTATTAAAGTTGAATATGTTTTGTTTACTTTATATTGTTAATAACATATAACAACAATAATAATTTGTTATCAAATTATTTTATTGGTGGGTTTGCTTGGATCTAGTTGTATATGCTTTGTAAACATGATAAACAAAGTAGTTAGCCTAAATTGGCTTTATGCACAGCTGCACTTCAGCCAGCTCCTTGTTTCCTCTCTGCTATTATTGGACAAATTAATTAATTCAGGTGTGCCTGACCTCAGCAGTCAAGGCAACAATAATCAGACACACCTGAATTAATCAAGTTTGGCCAATAATGGCATAAAGCCAGGACTGAAAATAGTGCTGCTTTGTTTATCTAATAAGTTAATCTTAAAACAGAGTGCGCTTTAAAAAAAAAAAAAGTATTAGGATGGTTGAACTGTATTTTGGTAGGACATGAGCGCCACCGTGTGTTGGGATAAAACATTGCAGTAATATAGCTGCTGTCATGCTTTGTTTTTATGTGTCGACATATTGCGGAAGTTTTTCTGGTAACGCTAACTTTTACACAGTGTACTTATAGTGTACTTACCTAGAAAGTAGCTACTGGCTAAAATAAGCTAAGTCCATGGAACAGGGGTAGGTTCAGGGTTAGTACTTGTAATTACTCAGTAATTGTAGTTACTAATAAGTAGATAGTATTTACATGGGTAACGTTAACTGGACTGTAAAAGGAAGCGTTAGCACTACCGTTTTTCTCATATTGAAAACACAACTAACTCCTTGATCTATATTCACCCGTTCAGTCGTAAAGGATAACTCTTTAGATATTGTTTATAGGGCATCGATAAAACCGTTTAAATGCATCTACAATCAGATAAGTTACAGTTCTCTATAACCACATCCATACAGTTCGCACAATTGCACAGTGGGATAACGTAATTTACACAGTTATACGCAGAACACAATAGTGCGAACTATAAAGTAATTATGAATAACAAGACCAACAAAGTATCTAATATGATATTCCTGACCGTTTGGAATTGCGCTCTGGGGACGTCTCCATATCCACCATCGACGACTTTCTCTTGTTCCTCTTCGGTCTATCGTTCACCGGCTCCGTCATCGCCACTGGAGATCCGTCGGTTTCCTCCATTTGAAACAAGTGGACCTGGAATACACTACTGTAAATTGTATAAACAAAATGTAATACTATCAAAATGAGTTAATTCAAGGGGTGAATAGAAAGGGGGGACGGTAGTAATATTCAACGGATAGGACGGATTTTGAATATGGCGGAAATCTGAAATCGCGGCCAATCACAAGTGAGCATAGGGGAGGGATTTAAGGCGACTAGTGACGTAACATTTGCGCGACTGCTGTCTTGTGTTCTTATCATAGAGGTTCTTATTTTTATTAGTTTATACATTTTTATTCTACTATTTCTTAATTTCAGTCTATATTTACCAATAACAATCCGCAATTTCTTGTATTTTAATAAAGATAATCAGTACTGAAGAACGATATTTGTTTATGAAAGCAAAACGTAAAATCACTCCCTTGGATTTATATTGTAATCATATCTGTTCAATAGTTTAAATAAAGATAAACATACTGTAACAGAAACAGTGAACACTGCTATTCATGCACTAAAGCCGTTATTACTCAACACAACAAACCATGGGCCCTTACTTCTAGAATATTTTAAGAAATCAGAATAAAAATGGCAACATGAGCTGTCCTGAGTTTGGAGACAGATCAGGTGTAAAGGACGTCAGTTTGTAAGGTCTACAGTGTTTCTTAAGTGTTGAGGGCCAGTCTATAGGCAGTTCCCCTCACAATATCCAGACCTGAAAACATTAAGCTGTTTATTTCAACCTGATGATGCCTATTGTGTGTAATTAAAAAACAAAAACAGTTCAATCATTGTAGATGCACAAAGAAAAGCTTGACCGTTCCCAATGAATAAACTTTTTGTAACTATGAGTCAGTTAAGCAGTAGCCTAAACCCATTTTTTTTAATGCCTGCACAATAAACACATTGCAAGTTGTTGTAGTCACACATTTATTATTAGTTTAACTGTTTATTAGCATTTCAATTGAATAATGGTTACAGGTTATTAGGCAAAGGTTTGCAGTCTTTTTTTTTCATTCAGAATTACATTTTCTATAAACTGTTAAAATGCAAGGTCTTTGTGTGTGTGTGTGTGTGTGTGTGTGTGTGGGTGGGTGGGTGGGTGGGTGGGTGGCATGGGCGTCGGAAGCAAAAAAAATGTGGGTGGGTCATCCTTCAGATTATTTTTAATTTTTTTTTTTTTTTTTTTTTTACTGTTCCTGAAGCCAAATATCTTATCTAATCTCTATGCAAAAATTTGTGATGTGAATGAGTGAGAGTCCAAATAAAAACTAGCACAAATCCGTCTATGCGTGCATCTCTCGCATAGGCCTACATCCAAAACTGTCCCGCCAGCAATAATATCTGGCCCGCGCCGCAGCCTGAAAAAGCTCTAAAAGACATTAAAAAAAAAAAATAGTATGTGGCTCGCTAGACACACCTCTAAAATAACCGTCATGAAATTTATATTTTTATATTAAATGCGTCTCTATAGCACGCGTTGTGTTTATCGCAATTTAAACGCGAAACTTAGTTTTTACGTGCATATGATTGTTTTTCTTCTTGCATTTGATACGCATTTTATTGCGTGTAATACACACGCACCCGACACCAACCTATCCCATGCGTAGCCTATTATATGCACGTAAAAACTAATTTTCGTGTATAAATTGCAGTGCTAGAGACGCATTTAGTGTGATCGGGTTGTCGTTGCAGAAAACACACTGGCTTTGCATTTACAAAACTAGGAAGGATTAACGCATTTTGTCTTTTCATTATTCTTTGGGTATTTTGTCTTTGTGTTTTGGCATGGTCTGGCTATATCATGAAAAAATAGGCTATGCATTATGAAGCAAAAAAATACAACAGAGACCACAGACTGTTCAGTTCTTAAGGTCATTTATCAATTAAAAAAAAACCCTTTAACTTCAAAAATTAGTGTCAGTTTCAAAACCGGACACTTCCAGTTATTGATTATTATTGGCTGAGCAACCTGAGCTGTGTTCGATGCCATTTAATATACTTTGTAACCACACAGTTGAGAGTCGTAATACAATGAGACGACGCGCAGCCAGCAAGGTTGCAGGGGTCGTATACACCGGATGAGAAGTGCGCGCCGCGTCTATGACAACTCGAGGTATCAATGAATAAATGTAACATAAGAGCAGTGTTGTGCAAGTTACTTCCAAACTGTAATACATTAGGTATTACTTGTTACTGCTATTTAAAAGTAATTCATTACCTTACAATATTACTGTCTCAGAATTGTAATGCGTTACATTACTGATGTATTACTTTTGAGTTACTTTCACCAAAATAACTACAGAAGTAGAACTTAACTTTGGGGCTGTAACGATATGCAATATGAAACCGAAATCGCGATTCGCCACACGACTCAGATCCACGCACCTACAGAATCGCGACACACCTCCCAGCGTTATTCTCCTTTCCGTCCAGATCCAATGCTACCTTATCTTTAAATTAGGCTATTAGTATTATTCGAAGTTAACATTATAAAATACGTAGACCTACACCACAAAACTAGTTGAGGATAAATTATTTAAAATTGGGGAAGTCCAGCATTATGGACATGATGACATTTGCAGTCAAAACTTGAAATAAAAATTCTCAGAAAATACATGTATTGAAACATATATAGGCTACTTCCTTAAAGGACTCCAGGCATTAGACAAATATCAGTCTATGTTTTATTTTTAATATTAGGGAAAAGACACACAGTCACGCGTGACAAAAAAAATAGGAGGCAAAATATATTTTTTGTAATTCTGTTAATTACACTGCGCAAATCGGACGAGGAAGGGTTGGCTCTGCAGTCTCCATGGAACTTAAAATATTCATTTTATTTTAGTTTTCGTGTTCGCATTTATGAGGAAAAAACAATATTACAGACGCGACCGCTCTGAACTGGCACTGAAAGACTGCTTTAAAACTTTCACATAGTCTGTTGCCTTTAAGAAATAAAAGCAGACAATACACTGTAATACAACTGTAATACAAGCCTCACTAAACATGTAACGAGTAAAATATTACTGAAAATTGATTAGTAATGCCTTACACTACTGCGTTACAGCAAAAAGTAATATGTTACTGTAAGGTATTACTTTTGTAATGCGTTACTCCCAACACTGCATAAGAGTTAGCATACACTTCAATGTGTTCGAATTTTAAAGACATGGCACCATAGACTGTGCATGGCACTGCACGCGGCGCTGCGCTTCTAGGGGGTTAAAGGGTTAGTTCACCCAAAAATGAAAATTCTGTCAGTATTTACTCACCCTCATGTTGTTCCAAACCTCTATGTGTTTATTTATATTATACACAAAGGAAGATATTTGGAAGAATGTTTTAATCAAACAGATCTCATCTTCCTTTTTTTGTCCAAATTTGAAATAAATTGCAACTTTATTTTATTATTTTTTTTAATTACAAATGTAGGCCTATTTAATTCTGTAAATGTATATTACATAAAGTATATTTTAGTTGACTTTAATTTCTTGTCAGTATATTTGGAAGTACACTTTTACCATATTTCAAAAATCACTCTTAATATCAACTAATAGCATTTAATTTGAGCTTAATCTGTGATACATTTAGGCTGCTTCATTAAAAACGTGACATTTAGATGTTTTGTTTCGGCGTGGATCGAGGCAAATTAATCCTTTTCACCTTGAAAATATTATTATTATTTTTTTTTATTTATTTTTTTTTTTTTAAATAGGCTAATAGACCATTTCTCAGTGATCATCAATAAAACAAAATCCAATTTTTCTCGGTTTAATGAAAACCAATAGGTTGTTATGGTAAGTTTAAGTGTAAGTTTCACGTTTGAGGGGGTTAAACCGTGACATTGTTTTCCAAAGTGGACCAACGTGATTATTTCACGTCTTGTTGTGATAGGCTACCAGGTTGGAGAAATGTTGTTTTGGCCAATTTGTTTGATATATAATCACAACAATTTAACGTAAGCAAGAATGGGACTTGAACTCAGGACTTCTTGATTAAAGCCCAATGCTTTATCAACTGAGCCACTGAGTTTGTTGAGTTAATGGGTTTTATTGCGGCTTTGGATTTATTTGTTGGAAAAATAAATATAGAAATATAATTTGACACAAGAGGGCAGTATAGCCCTATTTATGGTTTTGAGTTTAAACTATCACACCGTGACATCTACACGTTTTCCAAAGTGGACACAGTGATTATTTCACATCTTGTCGTGATACCGGGTTGGGCACTGAAGTTACGGGAGTTTCTTCCGTAAGCAACGGAACTAGGTCGAGTATTTAAAAGGTTATGGTTAACGTGGTTTAACGTCGATGTAATAAGTTAGCCTACCTTTTGCTTAAACGAGGAGCTGGGGGACGCTCGAAATTTAGACATTTTAACTCATTAGGCTGCTTCATTAAAAACGTGACATTTAGAAGTTTTGTTTCGGCGTGGGTCGAGGCAAATTAATCCTTTTCACCTTGAATATAATAAAAAAAATTGCGTTTTAAATAATAGACCATCTCTCAGTGATCGTCAATAAAACAAAATCCCATTTTTCTCGGTTTAATGAAAACCAGTAGTAAAGTTGCTTTTTTATTGTAAAGTGTTATACTAATACAATTGACTTGATTTGACTTTCGACCATAACCTATGAGCACATATAACACATACAGTCTGAAACTTTAGCTTGTAGTGCCTTCAAACCAACAGAGGGCAGAATTTAACTGCAGATTAAAGGAGTAGTTCACTTTTTAAAAAACTATTTCTGATAATTTACTCACCCCCATGTCATCCAAGATGTCCACGTCTTTCTTTCTTCAGTCGAAAAGAAATTAAGGTTTTTGATGAAAACATTCTAGGATTTTCTCCATATAAAGGAATTCAATGGGAACCAAAAGGTTCAAGGTCCAAATGAGAGTTTCAGTGCAGCTTCAAAGGGCTTTAAACGACACCAGACGATGAATAAGGGTCTTATCTAGCGAAACTAGCGGTCATTTAAAAAATAAATACAAAAGTTTAAGTTTTATAAGCTCAAATGCTCGCCTTGCTCTGTTCTGTGATGAGCATTCGTGACTCTGCTGTTCAAACTCGTTCATCAAAATGAACAAATCTTTTTTCGAGTCATGACTCGAAGGGTCCTAGATAAGACCCTTATTCATCGTCTGGTGTCGTTTAAAGGCCTTTGAGGCTGCACTGAAGCTCTCATTTGGACCTTGAACTGTTTGGTTCCCATTGAAGTCCATTATATGGAGAAAATCCTGGAATGTTTTCATCAAAAACTTTAATTTCTTTTCGACTGAAGAAAGAAAGACGTGGACATCTTGGATGACATGGGGATGAGTAAATTATCAGCAAAAGTTTTTTTAAAAAGTGAACTACTCCTTTAAGTCAGATTTACAGCAGGTTGCTAATACATGATGTCCCTCAAAATAACAACCAAGCAAATCGAAATTTCAGCTGAAAAGGAAAACATCTAATTCATTCCTATTTTATTTGCAAAAAACTCTTCAAAGGCTTGAGCATAGATGCAGTATAAAGGGCTCTGAGTGCAATGGGAAGCCGAAGAATTGATCCCCAGTCATTATAACCGATTTCAAATGGTGCTAGATGATAGAAGGGACTCTCAGCACCAGAGGAAATCAGTCATCCTTTGGTGGGGAGAGATGGGGGCAGGAACACCCAGAGAGGGAGAAAGAGCTTTAGATAAAACAGTCTCTCTGGCACTCTCAGACAATGTTAACAGTTCAAATGAGGGAAGGAAATACAAATACACTCAAAAACTCCTATAAAGAAAGTAAGATAGACGAAAAGACTTAACCACACAAACTTTCATGATGTATTCATACAGTAAAGCTCATTAAAAGCCCTGGTTATCCTTGAACCTCGATTTGAAGAATTTGGTTACTTTAATCAGGTGATTCGATTGTATTTTTATTGAGAAACTCAAATTAAATGAAGTCCTGTGACATTTCATCATGGCACATTTAAAAAACTTTCATTAATTGAAATATGAAATATTAATTTATTTTTAATATTTATATATTTTAATAACATGTATTATTAATAAATTAAACTTAAAAGAGAAGATT